GGGAGAAGAAGATGGGGATTAGAAGAAGATGGCGAGGACAAGAAGAAGACGAGGAGGAGGAGGAGGAGAAGAAGAAATAGAAGATGACGAAAGGAGGAGGAAGATGAGGAGAAGAAGCAGATGGCGAGAAGAAGAAGAGGAAGAGGAGGAGGAGGAGGAGAAAAAGAAGAAGAAGAAGATGATGATGATGAAAGGAAGAGGAGGAGAAGACGACGACGAGGAGGAGATAAGGAAGATAACGAAGAAGAAGAAGAAGAAGAAGAAGAAGAAGAAGAAGAAGAAGAAGAAGAAGAAGAAGAAGAAGAAGAAGAAGAAAGAATATGGAAAAAAAAAAAGATCGCGCGTGCTGACGTGGCAGCCGCGCGACAAGGACGGACATGACGGGGAGGAGGAGAAGACGACGACGAGGAGGACATGAAGAAAATGACCAAGAGAAGAAGAGGAAGAAGAAGAAGAAGAAGAAGAAGAAGAAGAAGAAGAAGAAGAGAGGAAGAAGTTGATGATGATGAGGAGGAGGAGGTAAGGCGGAGGGAAAGGTGAAGATGACGAAAGGTGGAGGAGGAGGAGGAGGAGGAGGAGGAGGAGGAGAAGAAGAAGAAGAAGATGATGACGAACGGAGGAGGAGGAGAAGACGACGAGGAGGAGGAGATGAAGAAGATGACGAAGAGGAGAAGAAGAAGAAGAAGAAGAAGAAGAAGAAGAAGAAGAAGAAGAATATGGAAAAAAAAAGAATAAAAAAGAATAGGGGAAAGAAGCATAAAAAGATCGAGCGTGCTGACGTGGCAGCCGCGCGACAAGGACGAACATGACGGGGAGGGTGACGAGGAAGAAGTTGAGGAGGAGGATGAGGAGGAGGAGAAGAAGAAGAAGATGAAGAAGATGACGAAGAGGAGGAGAAGAAGAAGAAGAAGAAGAAGAAGAAGAAGAAGAAGAGAGGAAGAAGTTGATGAGGAGGATGAGGAGGAGGAGGAGGAGGAGAAGACGAAGAAGAAGAAGATGATGACGAAAGGAGGAGGAAGAGAAGACGAAGAAGAAGAAGATGATGACGAAAGGAGGAGGAGGAGAGGACGACAAGGAGGAGGATATGAAGAAGATGACGAAGAGGAGGAGAAGAAGAAGAAGAAGAA